TCCTCCACCAAATATGGGCATTTTAAAGCCCTAATTTGGAATTTGTTTTATTATCAATTTCATATTTTGTAACACTTTAATGAATTTTTTATTAACAAACTCAATGATTTCAAAGCGAGCAATGGGAGCAAACACTGTACGGGGAGGGGGGAAATTTTTTATCTCCAGCAAGCGAGACTGTGTATCAGAAATTCTGAAGATATGCTCATTTTAAAATTATTTTGCAATATTGTTATTGAAGTGAATTTTATGATTTAAGTGCGAAGAACATGGTATTTAATAAAGAAAGGTAGCACGCAAAACATTAAAAAGACACCCCTTTAGGCATAATGTAAAATCTGAAAGCTTTCAATTTTTTTTTTTTTTTTTTTTTTTTTTTTTTTTTTTTTTAAACCCCCTGAAACCAAATTTTCATCTATATTGATATAGGTTTAGTGTTCTTTATTGTTATTGTGATTAGAATATTCTTGTGTTGAAGGTCATACCATAAGTGATTTTGTCACCTCTCATTTTTATAATGATCTTTTTTAAGTTTATTAAAATCATAATGCTGTCATCTTAAATTATGTCTTCATCTTTCATCATTTGTTTAGCTTTAGCCTTTATTAGATCCTAAATTCAGAAAACGCATCATTATCATATTTTATTTTTAAAGATGCGATTCTGGCCACAAGATACATCACACATTTATTAAGATAGACTTAAAATTGTTTAGTTTAGAAGCTTAATTGCAAATTAGTTGTGAATTTAGTATTTACATATGAAAAGCTCTACAGTTTTTTGTGCTTGTCCAGTATTACTTAAATAGCACACTTTTTGTTATTCTGGCAGCTTAGTTTGGTAAATTAAAATATCTTTTAATTTTTAGATGACGTCTTTCGCAGATATTATAATGTACACTGAATTCATTTCATCATATTTATTAATTGAAGAATTTCTAGGACCTCACAGAAAGTAGAAAATAATTTTTTTAATCATATATAATATGTTACACTTCATATAAATTAAATAACTTGCTTATATTTGCAAATAATTGCTTTCTGATTTGTTATCAACTAGTTTTATTTTTCTTACTCTCAGAAACATCGAGGGGAAATACTGAAAGAAGTTCCCATTAAGTGTATCACCCTAGTATTTGATCTTTTCATAGGGAATCATTTTCAAATCCAGTCGAATTATATTACTGAAATACTCAAGAGGCTATTTTCCCCTTTTTAATTATTTATACTTTATTATTAGATATAAATAAAATTTATTTGCATATAATGACTATTTTCTATATTTTGAGAACCTGATAGTTGCATGTGTCAGGCATCCTCTAATGTGGATATCCTTCTTCAGCAGATATTCAGTTGGAAATTTTTCTCAATAGAATTTGAATTTGTGTTATTTATTGTAATTATGCATTAGGAGTATTAGTAATGGCTTCAGATGAGCTGCATTATATTTTCTAAAGGATATGGAAAAGGCATTTTTCACAAGATTATAAGCTATTTACCAATTTTTTTTAAGTTGAATGAGATGCATATTTATAAAATAAATGTAAGAAAATTTTTATGTAAAAGTAATAACTTAATTTTTCCGACTTTTAACTGTGTTAAATACAAAATTACAAAATAAACATTTGGCAGACTTAGAGTTTTAGCGTGGTGCTAGTGATATCTCTGTTCATTTTTTCACATTTGAAACATCTTAATCTGAATTTACACAAATATCACCAGCACCAGGTTGAAATCTCGAATAAAGGAAATAACAATTGAACATTATTATGGTCTTGTAAAACTGAATTTCAAATGAAATTTTTATGACAAATTGATAAAGAATGGGCAACTGGACTGCTTTATTACTGTAATTGTACTACCAGCTTGTTCAGTTAAATCATGAGTTTTAAAAACATCAATACATTATTAAAAAAGTACTGCTGCATAAATTTTCTTCAATTCGCTGTTAAATATTTTTGATTCGATGAACTTTGCTGTAAAATGAATTTACCTATCATGGTGAAATTTTAGACATCTGCAATTTAATCATATGGTAAATTTGTAAGGAAATTATTGTACCTAATAAATTTATGAAATTCAAAACTCCATAATATTTAATTGTGTACCATTATGAATTATTGCTTTTAAGCATAATAATGTACATGATAAATTACTTGGTATCAGTGTGCTATCTTTAGGGAGCATAATTTCATTAAGGTTTTATAGCATTCTTTACTCCTTTATGATATAAAGCTGTATTTTTTAATTTTCATCGTTTAATTCCATGTATCTTTCCCATATTCCTCTTATCAAATCACTAAGTTGAATATGAACTTGCAGCATATTTTACTGTAAATTTAAATATTAAATTATTAATTATTATATTATACTTTTTAATCAAATTATGTAATTTAGTTCGTATATTAATCTAATCAATATCAGGTTTTAATCAAGAAGAAATAATCAAGAGAAAATTTATTTTCAGAGAAATATGTTCACAGTTCCTTCACTGTATTGTAAAGCTTGTAGATGCTAAGAACTATGCCTAGTAATTAGTTGAAAGTCCGCCGTAAAAAGCACGATACAATCTGTATAGATTAAAAAGATGAATAAAAGACTAATCACTTAATAATTCTTGAAAAATGAAATTTGTTAATGTTTCTGCTATCTTAATTATTTTTATACAACTTGTCAAATGAGGCATTCTGTTATACTAATATAAGTGGCTATAATAATAAAATAACTTTAACTTTTGAATGGGAAAGATCACATCCAGATTTCTTGAAATGGTGAAAATTGCTATAGACAAGCATCTTTGCATTTTATATCTACAAATAAAAATATTCATATGAAGGTCTAATATTAATAAGAATAATAAAAACTATGAACTTATAATTTGTATTTTAATGTGGCATCTCACACTTTATATCATCCTTGAATTTAATAGTAATATGTTTAAATAAATAACAGAAAAATAGCCTGTTAAGAATTTCATTTGAATCTCTAATGTTAACATGTACTTTATTTTGTTACGCATAAAAAAAAAAAAAAAAAAAAAAAAGAGTACTTTTTTTTTTTTTTTTTAATTGATTAATACCAAAGCTTTTATTCCTAAAGTTACTATTTTATAAATAATTCTAATTTTCTATTAACTTTATTATTATTAGATGCTTATTATAATAGTTTTCTTTCATATTTATTCTGTATTTAGTTTATAACAATTATTACTAGTATATAATGCCTTATTTTAATTTTATAGTAGTAATCTAATCTGCAAATAATATGTAACTTTGCTGCACATAGACTTTTAAAAGTGCCTAATGTGGGAATTAGGAAGTAGCAAATTTTTAAATTTTGAAATATTAATATTTGTGTTTCTTCTAATTATGTTGCATCTTTCAATAACATACATATATATATGTATGGGTATTATGTTTTTTATAGTTTAGTTTAAATGTTAGATTTGAAATTATGCAAAACTCTGAAAACTAAGGTACTTGGCTATTATTTTCTTATATTATAAGAATTATATAACATAACTTTAGGGACATTATTATCAATTAATTATCATAAAAATATTATATGAATAGATGATATTCATTTTCAGTACATGACAGTGCATTTTAAGAAAATGCCATCAGTATAAATTTATATTGATATTCCATTAGTTGTCTACATATACATTCAGTTTCAATAAATATATATAGAATTTATCTTGTTACGCTTTAGTGTTTTTTTTTTTTTTTTTTTAAAAGAAGAATATTACAGGTAAGCCCTATTATAAAATGCTGTTGGCTGAACTGTAAAATTCTCAATAGAATGGGATTGTAAGCACAAATTGTTAATGTTTCAGATTCAGGGGGTTATTAAATCTATATATTTTCTTTCTTTCTTTTTTCCCTCTCTATTATAAACTTTCGGATGGTATATAATTTTTTCCTTGAATGAATTAAAATTTTTAAATTTTATTTATTTTGTATATAAAACTAATTATGTTTAGCATCTGCTTTGAAAAACTTAACATTTATAAAAATTCTTTATATGACAATGCTTCTAGTACTAGTATTTTAATATATTACTGAAATATGAAGTAGCTCTACATACTGTAAATATATTGTATAAAATGTTCTCTTGATAAAAACTTAGTACAATCATTACTTCCTTTTTTAAACTTATGTATATACTTGTTTGCCAAAGATGATATAAATGCTAAAATTTTTTATGTTTTTTAATTCTTTATCAGTGTGTCATTAAGTGTATATAGCTCATTTTTATAAAAATTTTCTTATTTGTATATGTGCAGTGGTAATTGATACATGTTCTTCAGAATGTGTCTTATTATAATTAAATGTTATTCAGTAATTGCTTTGATCAATAAAATATATAATTTAAGTGTATGTATTGTTTCATTATTATATCTTGATACACAATTACTATAATAATAATAATTAGCATAAATGCTCGAAATTAATAATTTTTAAAAAGTAGCAGATCTAGTGCAATCGGTGCAGTCTCACCGGATGTTACAATTTAAATTTGCTCGCGAGGGCTATCTGCCTAAGGGAAGAAATGCCTTTGCGGAGGACTTTCTAGAGGAAATTGTCTTATATCCACTTGGCTGTTAGTGGGCAAGGAAGAATTTAGGAGCTACAGAAATTGCGTTTCGGGGGGGGGTGGTTAAAACAAATTAGGACAATATGTATATCAGTATTTAAAAAAACATGCAGAGAAAAGAAAAAATAATCTTTATATTCTAAAGCTGCGCAATTTTAAAGAAATTTCACTCAGAAATTTAAATTTATTTAGTTATTAGCAACTTAAAGCTGATTCTTCTTTCTGTCTTTATTTTTTCTTTTTGTTCTCTAACTGCGAAGTATTTAATTTATTGTACTATTTCGTTAAATATTTTCCATTTTTAAACAGCGTTTTTACGCCAAGCGTGAAAAAAAAACTTATAAAACCTATTCGTAGTACGTTCGTATTCCATTTGCCTACGACAGGTCGCTAGAGGGCGCTGTATTCGCGTTCATTCTCCTCGTGTATACTATTGCTGAAGAACAATATCGAGGAGTTTATCGCAGAGTATGTTGTAGTACGCTTTATGTTAGCAATACGAGAAAGGATTTTTTTTTTTCTCAGGTAAGTTCTTAAGTTTCTTGATAATGTTTTTCTGAAATTATACTTTACTTTCCAAACAAACTTGCGGTTAAGCGGCAATTCGATGATTAAACGGTCATTGGTTGGATGGAGGGTTCCTCGCTATTCGTTGGTCAGAGATATCCAATCCCGTTGGCGTCCATTGCTGGAAAACTTTGTTCTGCGTCGTCATTGTAACATTGCGCTTTACAGATCTGTTTGATTGGCTTGTATCGGGCGTGATTACTGAAAGGCTGCAATGTGTGTTGATATTTTTGTTTTACGTGGTCTGAAAGTTTCATAATTGTCCTCTCAATTCTGTAATATGGCTTGAAACTGAAACTTGAAAAATGCATGGCAGCATGGCGACTAATGAGCTGTCATCCCGCGTGATAAGATGTAAGAAATGCAAATTCCTTGCATGTTGTGCGATATCGTTGTTCATCGAGGAAAACGCCTGTTTTTATTCCGTGAATATATGAGTACATCTTACTGTATTTTGAAAGGTATAGGTGCTTTTGAAATATACTCATTTTGTAACTTTTTGAAAGAAGTATTCAATACCTTATCATAATATTTGATTATGGATACTCGCATTTCTCTCAGTTCTCTGAACCCTCATATTTCGTGTTCTATATGTAAAGGTTATTTAATTGACGCTACAGCAATTACTGAGTGCTTGCATACATTTTGTAAAAGTTGTATTGTTCGACGACTCGACCAAAAAGATGGTAATAAGTGTCCTAAATGTGATGTTGTCATACATCGCAGTAATCCTTTATTAGGTATCAGGCCTGACCGCACTATGCAGGATATTGTTTATAAGTTGGTGCCTAAATTACAGTGTCGTGAAATGATAAGAGAAAAAATTTTCTGTCAAATGAAAGGCATTGCATATCCTCGACGAAACGCCAAAATTAAAGAAATGCAAACTCCCGAGTGTCAAACGAAATCTGTTGATGCCGTATCTGAAGATCGTGTTTGCATTCAGTTAGAAACTAAAACTAAAGAATTGGAACCTTTGACCAGGAAATTCATTTGTTGTTCTTCTCGCACCACTATTACGCATGTTAAGAAACTTGTTGCTAAAAAGTTATTTTGTGACTTGAGAAAATATTGTTCTGTTGATATCCTGTGTAACGACGAGATTTTGGGAAAAGATCATACTCTGAAGTTTATTTATGTGACGAGATGGCGTTTCAAAGAACCACCACTTAAACTTTATTACCAGCCTCGAGTTGACATTCTGAGTTGAAATCAACACCAAACTACATGCATTTGCTATTTAAAAAAAAAAAAAAAAATCAAAATTTTGATGCTCATTTCTGTTTTGAAAGTATTTTTGTGAAAATATTTTTTTGTAATTAAGAAAATTGTTAAGTATAACAGTTTTTATAAAGTACATGAGCTTGCTGTTTACCATTTGTATATAGTTTATATAATAAACATTATAATAAATCAATATTCACCAGTTATCTTAAATCATGTGGTTATAAAAGAAGATTGAACATTTTTATTGCATTTAAGAATAGAGGATTTTTGAACCTGGTGTCTTCTGTGTTGAAGTGTTATTAAACTTAATAGATGTCACACAACAAGAAATAAGTTGCAATATATGTAATATTATAAAATATGTGTAAAATTCCAGATATTTTTAATGAAGGTACAGATGTGTGTAATAATTTGAGAGTTTCAATATTTATTTTATTTTTTGTAAATTTGCTGATTTTTATTACCATTATTTGTTTCATTTTGGAAGTAAAGGAATTATGGTAAATATGCTGTCAGGTATAATTTTTTTAAATTTCCGTGAAATTGAAGAATACTTTTGCATTTCAGTAATTGCTGACAAATTTGATAGTCAGCTTACCTGAAAAATATGTAATAAGTAACATCTGATGGCTTAGATTTAGTTAAAAAACAATCTGCTTAAAAAAAATAAGAATTTTTATAAGGCATTTTACAGATATTTGAAGTCTTTACAATTGTTGTTTCTTGTACGAATTTTATCTCTGTGCCATATTATTTTTAATTAAATCACATTTAAAGTCAGCCATTTTATCAGAACCCTTCTGTGATTCTTTTCTTTAGCATGTCATGTTTCCAAAATACCACAATATAGTAAACTCCCATTTAATTGACCCTGTCTCAAAATAAAGTTGATTTTGTTTATTGTAGAATGATGAAAAAATTACTATCACAGACAATCATTTTCACAATCAAATGAAATATAATTGGCATGGCAAATTCAATGTTAGGTAATGATTTTAATCTGGTAACCTCACTTCTCAGCGTGCCATGCCATGTTTGTGTAATTCTCTAATATTTTTTAAGTGAAAACAGATTGCTGTGTACATGGGGAGAAAAACAGTCATGTATCTTATAATGTTTAATGTATGCAATGCCAAACTAGTGAAATATTCAGACATTTTAAACAAAAACACAACTACCATATATTCCGGCATAAATCGCAAACTTTTAACGCCAAAAATTTTGAAGTGAACATTATATGCCAGATATAAAAATAACAGATTAAAAATATGGAAAAAATCAGAATACAAAAGTTAAATTTTTATGTGTACTTATGCTGTTTAAAAGAAATGACATAAATTTTAAACTTGAAGATTTTTCATTATCAGATAACATGAAAAGTGCATCATGTTCATTTTCCGTTATATTTTCAGGCACATCATTGATTTCTGTTTCATCTTTACCATCACTGTTATTCTGGTCCATAAATAAATCATCATCCATTCCATCTTTCACCAACATCGAGCGTCTTTGCTGCGGCATGGTTTTCATTTTCTTTTGCAAACCGAATGACCTTATATTTGAAGCCATTACTGTGTTGTTTTGTTTCGCAAGAGCCATATTTACTACTAAGAAGAATGCTAGATCAACCGTATTTTAACTAAAAACTTTGATGTTCACTTCAAAATCATGGCTTCAAATGACCACAGAAAGGAGAAAACATATGAATCGTAATTCTGCGAATACTTCCGTGTTGGAATTGCATTCTTCCTCCAAATTATAGCTCCTTTTTCCCCCCGAGATCCTAAAATAGCATTCTTTTGGATGCTTGCACTGAATACAGTGTATCCTCTTTCCAGGTGTATTACTCCCTTAAGCTTTTAAAACGCACACACATATTGCATATTGTTCTCCTTGCTGCTTGTCAATTCGGTATACCATTGTTTGAAAGGCTAGGACAAATATTCAAAGAGACCCCAAAAGATCAGGGCATTGCACGTGTATCTTTTAGGTTTCCTCGTAAAGAATTGGGAGCGTGTTATACCGCAAATATACCTGAAAATTTAAAAATACAGCTTGAAAATGTAGATATGTCACAAAAGTATAATATATATACATATGGTGTATACATAGGAAGAATATCAGTAATGTATTATAATCCTTATTTAACATTTCTCATTTTTGTTTTCTTTTGATATGGTAATGTTTGCTAAGTTATGATAAATATTTATAGTTTGGCAATTTTTTCATAAAGTTGCCAACTTGCCCCTTATAAATAACTTTTACTCAAATGAGTTTATTTTCCAGATTAAACTGCATGAAAATGCAGGTAGATTGTTAGGAGCAGTTTTTTGTTAAATATAATATGGTCTCAGTGTTATAATTAACTCCTTCCAGTTTTTTTCCCTTATGTATTATCTTGTTGATTATGAAGCTGTTACCAAGGAGCACAATTTTGAACCAGTTATGGATAAGTATGATGCCCATGCTTATCCATATCTGCATTTTTGTTGATGTTATTCTGACTAATTTTCAATAAGCTGCATTTTATGTGTTTGATTGAAGATATGAGTTTTATTTTTCTCCGTTTATTTTGGAAAGAAAAAAAAAAAATTGATTAAAATTTGGGGTGAAGTGCAGAATCGCCCACTTTTTACAATAGCAAGAATTGGATTTTTGTCAATTTCCTTGAATTTCCTTGAAAAATAGGATTTCAAACTTCAGAGCTGAAAAGAGTCTTTCCATGCTAACTTGAGAAGGAGGAAGAGCTGTTACTGTTAGGATTACTTCTTTCAGGATAGATTTAAAAAAGTTCTAAAAGGGGTATCTTACAAGTGCAATCATATTTCTCTATTTCTTCAAAGGCCATGTAGAAATCTTGTTTGTATTTTTTTATTTTTATACCTAAAGGCTCTTGGTTCTTTTATTTTCATTCGCTTTGCCTTAGCCTTTTCAATATTAGCCAAAAAATTTTCTCAAAATCTAATTCATCACTGGAAGAGGATGATAGAGATTCAGTTGCAACATCTGCAGTTTGACTGTCCTGATTCAAATTCTCCAATTGTTCTGAGAATAATTTCATTTTTAATGAAAGTTCATAGATGGCTTTCTTTGCCTTTTTAATTTGTTCGTCATCCAAGAAAATTCAGTGTTTTGGATCTACATATATTGAACCTAGCAAGATCTCATTGTCTAGCAAACTAGTTTCTCTTTTCTTCATTGAAGAAATGATTGCTTCTGCAATAACACTTCCATTTCCAACAGAACATGCATCCCATTCTTCCATTCTTGCCTCCTGTCAGTTCTTCAGATTGCAGCTTTTTTGTGGCTATATATGGTGTAGAAAGCAGAGTTTCCAATTCTGCAAGATCATTCCATAGTCTTTCTGTTAGTGAAATGTTAGGGTTCTCTACATATTCTAAAAAAGTTCTTATTTCTAAAAACCTCTTTATCATCAAATATGTACTTCCTTATTGTGTTGCTTGATCAATAATTGCTCCTTTTCCTGCTCGCTTCTTAAGAATGACATCAATTTGGGGAAATCTTGCTGCTTACCTAAATTTACCAGTGAGATTTGTAACTAAATGAATCAGTTTAATCACTAATGGCAAATATCACATCTATCCTCCTCCCGTATATTTATTTATTAATATGTCAATAAAATAGAAAATAACTAATTATTAATGTATATAGTTCATAAATAAAAAATACTAACTCAGATTGTCATTAATTTTTTTCAATTCATTTTAATTTCATTTCAAATTCAAACTGTCCAACAAAAACTAGAGTCTAAGTTTTGTTTTTAGTGACTTCAGCTCCAACTCCACAGACCTAGAAAATACATCAATGTGTGCATGGAACAAAGTCATCGGAGTGCTCAATGCCGAATTTTCGCAATTCTCTTATTTTTCTTTTAAATTAAAATAGGTCAATGTGTACATGGATACGAGTTTGTGCAATTCTTAAAAACACACTAAGCAGTGGGTGATTCTGCACTTTCCTGCTGCTTGCTGTTCTGCAGAACAGTAAGCAGCAGATTATTTTCAAAGTTGTAATCCTCCCATCGAGAAAAGCAGGTATTAATGAACACAGTATGATCAACTGCAAATGGTCTAACAAAACAGTAATAGATTGGAAAGTTGCCTGCAGGAAGTTTGTAATCATAGATTTCTAAACAAAGCTTCTAGTAAAATTGAAGGGCCTATAAAATGGTAGAAATCAATAAAAGCCTTTTTCTGAAGTGCAAAAACGGAGTATGTCGAATACTGATTATTTATTAAATGAAGAGGTGTCACTTATTGCAGGAACAATCGCAGGATCTCTGCCAATTTTCATGTTTTATTGCAACCCTATGTCACTATCAATAGGATAATAAGTATCCTTTTTTCCAACGCTATCTGGTTACCCATGATTTTGAATTAACTGTGGAGATTATTAGTCCGAAGGGGCTTTCTTTCTGAAGGACAATTATTTTTGTTTTGCATTGGTTCCCTATAAATGTCTGTTTCACTTTTCAAACTGTTGCCACCAAATGTTAGAGTCCTGAATTATAATTGGAAAAATTAAATAAATGAAAAGTATGCATAAATGTATGTATATTTCTCGCATTGTGATAAAACAATGGTACCTAGAGCCATCGAATTTTGAATGACATAATCTTCCTGTGAATATGCGCTTGTGAAAGTTCAAATTTGGAATTTATTTTATTATCAATTTCAAATTTTGTAAAACTTTAATGAATTTTTGATTAACAAACTCGAGGATTTCAAAGCGAGCATTGGCAATGTTGTACAGAAAAAACATTTTTATCTCCAGCACACGAGTCCCTGTATCAAATTAATTCTAAACATAAGCTCATTTTAAAACTATTTTGCGATATTGCTGTTGAACTGAATTTTATGGTTTAAGTGCGAAGAACGTGATAGTTAATAAATATTAATAAATATAACACAAAAAACACCCCTTTGGATGTAATTTAAAATCTGAAACCTTTCAGAATTTTTTTTAAGGTTTTTTTTTTTTTCCTTCTCCTTTTTGTATTATCCCACTAAATCGTAAGTTGATTGTAGGATGTAATTTTTTGCATGTATTTACAGTTCACTAAATCATGTCCACCTCTTTCAAGGTTAATAAAATTTTTCTTATTGATATTTCCTAAAATGCTTTTAAAACCTTTAACTGCTGTGACAATTTTTTTGGCATAATTACTGTGAATTGTCTAATAGACCGCTTTTAAGAAATACATAAAAATATATACTTGTATGTATTTTTAAAGAATATTATAGATAATTTATGCATATTTATGAAATTATAATTCATTTAAATCAATATGTTTTAAACATGAATCATTTAATTTTATGCAGTTTAATTCATATAAAAAATTGACTATTTTCTTCATTTTAAGGAACAGAGCTTTTAAAGAACAAAGGTTTTATTAAACATGCATGAAAATATGTGGCTTTATTAAACATTTCTGTCAATTAAACCATAATTCTACAATAATGAATTTAATTATAAATTGTTAATAGATTAGTATACCTTTGTTTACAAGGATGAATCGTAAGATGATACCACATTTTTTTAGAGCACTGAAGACACACTGGTTCCTTGCATTCCAAGCATTTGTATGCTGCTTTTCTCTTCTTACGAAGTGGGCACAGACTACTTGTTTTTCTTTTTTCTAATTCTTATTCTTGATTTGATAAATCCATTCCCTTAATTTTATTCTGTCCAAGGATTCTTCTAATTGTTATCTTCAGTTCCCTTGGCAGAAAAGTTATCCTAACTTTCAGATATGGTTTAAGAAGTTGATTTGCTAATAAAAGCATTTTTTTTTTTTTTTTTTTTTTTTTTTTTTTCCAGTTTTGTAGCATCAGGATATGACTTTAACAATATGAATGGATTCACAACACAGACATCCAGTATTCTA